CTTTATCACAATCTATCTTCTGATAACTCTGTCTTGATGTGGGAGAACCCATCTCCTCCTTCCCTTTTTATCTTCCCAAGCTCTCATATATCGAGCTCCAACCCTGGGAAAGATTCAATCTTTTTCCTTTTCTTTTTTTTCTTTCTTTTTCTGGTGGGGGGTAAATTTCAAATATATATACAATGGAAAGGTACGAAATACTGAAGGATTTGGGGTCTGGTAATTTCGGGGTTGCCAAGCTTGTGAGGGACAAGAGGTCCAAAGAACTCTTTGCTGTTAAATTCATTGAAAGGGGCCATACGGTCTTTAATTTCTTCCCCCCCTTCTTCCTCCTGATTGAAAAAAAAAGAATCTTTTTATCTGATTCATTTTGTTAAACTGTTAATTTATTTTCTTCATGGATGACAGATTGATGCACTGGTGGAAAGGGAAATCATGAATCACAGGTCATTGAAGCATCCTAACATTATCACATTCAAGGAGGTGAAATTCCTCTCCCCTCTATCTACTTCTGAGAATCTTATCTTTCCCCCCTGTTTATTCTCTTTTTACATTAAATTACTCCTTAATTAATTAAATATTCGATTTTTCAAATTTTATTTTTTCCTTTCTATGCAAGCATTTCGAATCCTCTATTGTTATTTAGTATGGCAGAATGGTTGTGTCTGTGTGTGTGTGTGTGTCAAATAGAGTGTGAATCACAACATTCATCTACCACATGCTTCAACTTCCAAAAGTTTGAACAAAATACCCCTGCGAAAAACAATTCTGTATAGTATAAGTGTGATATGAAGAGAGGGCGGGTGAAATGTTGCAGGTGCTGTTGATGCCTACTCATCTAGCAATCGTTATGGAGTACGCTGCCGGGGGAGAACTCTTTGAAAGGATTTGCAGCGTTGGAAGGTTTAATGAAGACGAGGTTTGTGCATCATGAATAGACACCTTGATGATATGTATAATGTTCGAATATAAAACCTTTCCAGGCCTGTAACCACAAAAGTTTGAGCTTTTGGTTGAGTTGTTGGTTCTTTGGCATATATGCATGTAACAACATCAAACACTAAAGTTTGTGTTTTGAGGAGACCTTGTAATTCGATAATCGTATTTCATCTGGTATTCCGGGCATTTGGTTTGACTATCATCATGAAATTACAATTTTGGAACAGAGAGAGGATCTCATCCAAAAACCGAACTGCCACTTTGCACAAATCTAGTTCAGCTCTAATATTAGTCAGCTGATCTTTTTGCTTGTTTTTGGTCAGGCAAGGTTTTTCTTTCAACAACTCATATCAGGTGTCTCCTACTGCCATTCGATGGTAACAATAATTACAATAGCATCAACTTGTACTCTTTATTTCTTTCTATATATCTATCTTGTTTGTTCAATGTTTATATAATTATGTTTTTTTTTTGGATTGCAGCAAATCTGCCATAGAGATCTAAAATTAGAAAACACGTTACTAGATGGAAGCGTAGCCCCATGCGTCAAAATTTGTGATTTCGGCTACTCTAAGGTCCATTTTTATCCTTGGGTTTTGTTCTACATAAATGTTACTCCGTTTAAAACTCTATGAGGTTATTTCTTAATATGATTTGCAGTCAGATGTGTTCCATTCTCAACCTAAATCAACTGTGGGAACTCCAGCTTATGTTGCACCTGAGGTGCTGTCAAGGAAAGAATATGATGGGAAGGTGCTTTTACTAAATCCCATATATGCCCTCCTCCTGTTGTCTTTCAAACTATGTGTTGTGTTTTCTTAAGGGTATCTAATCAAGTGAAATGTACCATTGGAAACTATAGCTTGCAGATATTTGGTCTTGTGGTGTCACTTTATATGTGATGTTGATTGGCACATATCCTTTTGAAGATCCAACTGATCCAAAAAACTTCAGAAAGACTATTGCTGTGAGTAATAATCCCATTTCCCCGCGCAACAAAAAAAAGTGGTTTTCACTGCATCAAATGTTTTTGGTTACTCAGTGTTTATTTTATTACAGAAAATACTCGGCGCCCAGTATTCAATCCCCAACAACATCCATATTTCTGTTGAATGCCGGCATCTTCTATCAAGAATCTTTGTGGCAAACCCTGGAGAGGTGAGTGAAGCACGACTATTAGCCTAAAACAAATACTCCCTTCTTCCCAAAAAATGACTCATTTCTTTTTTGGTACGTTGCAAAAAAGCCTCCTTTTTTTCTTTTTTGCAAATCTTTGAATGACTCACAATCTTTCTTTCTGCTCTAGATCACTTTCACTTCCCTTAAATTTTGTGTCAAACCAAACAGAAAGACTTTTTTTGGACAAATGGAGTACAACTCTATTAGTGTAATGTTAAAGTGTTGTGTCAAGTGTTTGCAGAGAATAACGATTCCTGAAATAAGAACACACCCATGGTATGTGAGGAACTTGCCAGTAGAACTAATGGAGGGAGGGAGCTACCAGAGCATGGATGTCAACATTCCTGCACAAAGCATGGAGGAGATATCGGCGATCATCGAGGAGGCAAGAAATGTGGGGAGCCGCCAGTTGGGGAGAGGGCGAACGTGTTCCTATGGCGGGGGGAGTATGGAATTTCTTGATGATTTTGATGACGACGCCGATAACTCTGATGATGTTGACACCAGTTGTGATTTTGGGACTCACCTCTGACTTGAGCAATGCCAAAATTGCACACACCCACACAAACAATATACCAAGACGTTGTACGAGTGTTGTAACCCACCAAGTGTTGTAACTTTTGGCCTCCTGTGTATATATATGGATAAAGCCTTCAAGATCATGAACTGTTCAGCAATCTTGTGGTTGTGGGGGAAATGTTAGCTGCATGTGATAGTGATTTTGTCTTAAGGGGTGAGGCTAATTACCTCCTTAATTCTATATATTTTTTTCCAGAGTACTATTTAAATTTTATGAAAATTTTTATTTATTTGCATTTTTTCACGGTGATGGGGTAAATTATCTTCAAACTACTCTAGACTGGGTCTAGGGTGATTTACTGAGTTTTGTAACTGAAAAGACCTAGGAAATAGAGATTAATCGGAAGGATTGTAGGTAGAAATATTTGTAGTCCAATTGTTATTATGTATTGGAAGATTACATGGGAGAATTACACAATGCACTTCTATAGAGAAAATTCGGATTACTTCATTTGTGGGCTACAAGAGTATTTATAGGGTAATGTGTGTGTGTGTGTGGGGGGGTGGGGGGGCAGGGCGCTACTCGCCCTTGTTTGGCCATGTGATGAGGTGATAGGTCCTTGTCTCGTAGCGCTTATCCTCTTCCTCTAAGTGTCATTTACTGCAGCTTGGCGTGTAGAGTTTGGATGTGCTCGTCGGTTTTAGGGAATCTGATACCTTTCAAGCGCTACCCTCCAAAACACGCTAGGTTGTTGTCATGCGCGAGCTCCAATAAACAACCCAGGTGGTTCCTATGAAAGGAACACCCGATTGGTTAATGGATTCTTCCATCGAGGCTCGCTTCCTGGTCGACAATATCAAGGGTCCAAAGGCACTCGGGTGGTTAGCCCCCACCAAGTTAGATCTTAATTGCCCTGATTTCCCCTTAAGTAGCCTTTCTTTTACCCACCCGGTTGAATAATATTATGAGTCTTTCAAGTGTGCAAGTTACCGTAAATTTTAGAACTCGTGTACTTAATTGTAAAACTCTTAATGGAAAGCGAGACTTTTATTAAGGATGAAAAGTATCACTATCGTTATTGCTCCGTGAGTGTGTTTCAAGAAATTATATTAATATAAAATATGATTTAAAATGATTTTTATACTTCCGTTAGTTTATAGGATTTCAAAAATACTACTCCCTCCGTCCTATAATGATCTTCCCAGAGCACTATTCCAACTTCACGGAAATTTATATTTATTTGTGTTTTTTCATGGCCTATATGATAAAATAAAATATTTTTGTCACCACTTGTTTTGTTGAACTTTTGATGTAGTTTTTAAATATGTATGTTTTATTTTTTATTTCTATACCAATATTTAAATAAAATAGATTGAAAAAACTTGGGATTTTTCTTCGTTTTGCGAACCGGGAAGATCATTATAGGACGGAGGGAGTATAAAGTTGAATTTAAAGTATTTCATTAGCAAGAATAAGTTATATGAAAAAGTATTTAATACTTTAAATCGAAATATTACACTCCAACTTTTGGAAACAATTTTAGTTTTTTATAATTATGGATATTCTTGGGTAAAAGTCAATGGAATGAATTAAAAAATACAAATTGCATTTAAAATATTATACTCCATATTAAAGTAAGAACAAATGAAAATATAAAGTTGTATTTATACTTATATACTCCGTATTATAAGTATTATGAATTTAAAAAAAATAGAATAATTA